CATTTCCATACGCACAGAAGCATGAAAGAGGGGCAGTGACAGACACGAAACCTAGCACGAAATACCAAGAAAGAGTTCCTGCGTTGCGTTCACTGAAAATTAACTCTTTACCAACTTGAACAACCCAAGACAAAGCAAAATGGTGGAGTAAAGAGGGATGAAGGATATGAACGACAAATCAAACTACAAACAACTGCTGGGTGAGATGGAACCAATACTGGCCTGCTGTAAAAGTGAGGAAAAAAACTATCTTGCTTTATTGATTTGTACATGAAAATAAAATTATCTTCGTTTGATATTTCACTCATCTTGAATCAAGTTTTTCTTCAGGACTCCTTGTTTCCAGCAAAGCAGAATAGGAAATAAAAAATAAATTCTACAATAAAATGTTCTGCTATATAAAAAAAAATGCTGTTTTTCTTTCAGCATCTGTTTTCAATTCTGGATAGCATAAGTAGGGTACTATCAAAACAAGGGTCATTCTGCAAAAATGCTGTATACTTTTAGATATTTCTGCTATGTCTAGGTAATATATATTTAAAATAATATTAAGTTTGATTTCTCACTACCGTCCTCTTTTAAAAAGGTAATTATGTATTGCAAACATCTCTGCATAAAAAGGAAGAGGAGAATGAAGAAGAAACAGAAAAACTCTCAAACAAGCTTAAAAGCAAGAAAGCAAGCAAGCAAGAAAATCCTTTGATGTTTCATATCATTCAAACACTTTGTGTACTTGTGTCTTTATATTATATCATGTAAATTTGACTGGGCCAAATTATAGAGAATTCTGCATTAACATTCATTTTGTTAGTCATGTTTGATATTTACTAAGAGCTAAATATAGCTGAGTTGTACTTATGATCAGTTAATAAAAACAAATAACAATATAGCTCAGAAATTAAAAAAATTCCAGCTAGAATTATGTCATACATTCAAAAGTAAAATGAAGACTTTATATAGCATCTGTACCTGAAAGATAACATGTAAGTTATTCCTGAACAGATATTACACAGGCCTTCTAAATTATTTGGTGTAGTTCCAGACTGTTTGCTGAGATTAGGAGAAGGCTTTTTATTATTAGAAAGTGCACATTACAAGGCCATAGTCCAAATAAATAGAAGAAAGGCATATGGTAAGGTAAAAAGCCCTCTTGTTAAACCTTTGTTACATAAATGATCACCGTGGTTTAAAAATCTGCTCCAGGATTTCTGCCTGGCATACAACTTTCACCTCCTCGGAGTTGGACGACACTGTACACATCTCCTCTGCAAGGACAGGAACAATAGGGGATTGGTCACAAAGAGGAGAAAGATTATTTTAAAAATTGGGCAGCTGCATAAGACTAAAGCATGCTAACAATATGGCAAAACACAGGCATGCAATAAAGGAGTGAATGGGTACCTTCGGTAAGAGTACAACTTCTGATGTTCCTATCAGTCCCTATTAATACAGTGGACCCTACTGAATTAATAGCCACTAAAGGAATAAAGCTACTAAAAAAATGCATTTCTGTTTATTAGATTAGTATCTGCATTAAGATGCCAGTATCCTCTTAAAGGAACAGCAACTAAAGGACACATCACACACACATCCCAAGGTACAATGCAGTGATGAACCAAAAAGTTACTTCGATGAAACCACTAAAAAACACACATTTCCTTCTTCACAAGCTGCAAACCAAGCCTCATTTTCTTCAACAAGTCATAAAAGAACATAAAATGGGTTAAAAAAAAGTCCATGATGCCTCAGACTATATAAGCCTAACAATTTTCTTCTGCAGTAAAAAAAATTAAATAGTAATAATGGAAAACCTTGGGAAATGTAGAGATTTTATTAGTTTTATTAACTGAACAATATAAACTTGAATTATCTGTTTGTTTATTTGCTAGTTACTCATTTCAAAGTGCCTCTCAGTGCTAATGAAAATAAAATCTCAAGTGCTTTATAAAAGCAGTGGGGATGGCTGAAATGACTAGAGTTTTTTATTTTATTTATGTTAAGATGTTTTCTTCCCATTTAGTAACTAAATTGTTAATTTAAGAGGCAGTAGTTACATTTTTATATCTCCTGTATTAGTAATGTCATCTCTATAATCAAAGCCAAACAAACAAACAAACAAATTGAGTATTAAACAAAAACACTGTTTGGGCTACTACTTTTTATTTATTATAATTGGGAATTTATTAGTGCAAACATATTCCAAAAGGGTACACTGAATCTTTTCTCCCCTCTAAACTTTGTGGCAGTATGGCACAGTGTGAGATTTTATGCTTAATCTCTTTTTCTTCCCCCATCCTCTTGTTTTCCTGGCAGTATGTGCTCCCAGCCTGAACTAAATTAAAAAACTATTTTCAACCAATTTGGAGCTATTACTTGAAGCACTTCAGGAGTTAAATTGCTAAGTTAAAATCAAAGAAATGACCCCAAGCAGAGATTACTGAGTTGCAGAGTAAATTCATATAAATAAAATTGGACTGAAAAGCATTTCCCACCAAATAATAGTGTCTCGATTAAATCTTGTCCTGGCACTAAGCATGCCTTGTGGTTCAAACAGCCCATCACTTGCATTAAGACCATCACAAAGAACGATTACCAAACAAACCCAATCAGAACTTTGCCCTCAGAGCTGCGAAAGCTTCCAATTTCTTAATATTTCCAGACCACTTAACTGATTCTTTCACAAAATGTAAGGATAATTAAACTGACATGAAACAACTGCCCTGTTAAAATTCTAGGGGCAGTTTGTCTAACCTTCCGATCTCTAGGGAACCCAGAGCTCTTCAAGCACCTGTCTATGGCCACTATCAGATAACCTTCATAAAAAGATTAACTTGAAACTGTGTACACTAAAATCTATGTACACATTCAATATTGCCCTTTTTTATTTCTTAAATAAGCATTCTGTTATGGAGCAAACCTGAATCAGATCCTAATATGCAAACAGAATTTTCATTGGATAGATGAGTACTCCCAGCTACAACAAATCGAATATATTTGGACATGCTGAAATATTTTCACATACTTTAGCCCAATAGTGAAATATTCACAACCCCCAAAGGCAATACTGGATAACAAATCTGACTATGCCTGATTTCCCTTCAAATAAGCTGAAGGCAAACAGTAAACATCCCACAAACTTATGCATTATTGTAAATATTAGACTAATCTTTGTTTTCAAAAAGGACATAATATCCTGACCTCATTTAAGTCAATGGCAATTTTTTCCACTGAATTTCCTGGGACCATGATTTGGTCTTACAAATAAGAAAATAAGTTAGATTTCTTATGTGCAGGAACTGCCAATTTCTTCCTCTAAAAATGCTCTTTACACTTACGCCTTGTAAATAAGTCACTTTTCCAGCTCCACTTTTATTTGTCTCTTCATTGTTTTGCATGTCTATACATGCAAAAATCACACATAGTTTACCTAGAATAGAAATATTATTTACCATAAAATTTTCAGGAAAATTTCAAAATGAGCAGTTGACAAACTGTGAAATTACAAATAGTTCCTTTAATATATTTTTAAAAAAAAAAGAAATCAGTCTCTGCATTATGATGACATAAGACAACGTAATAAAAATAGCAAGTCATATGTCTCAAGTATCAGGAAAAAAAAAACTGCTCTACCTGCAAGTAGCAGTATTCTTGTTTGTTTTAAAAGTTTCTTCGTTTTCTTGCAATTGCTTGCTTATGAAACCAAAGGAAGTTTAAGTATTACACAAGTAACTGCTGGAAAACAAAGTACCTACTTCTACATGATAGGAAATCTAGGTCTGATCTCCCAACCCCTTCATCAAGATTTTCTTTCGCTAAAGACAAAATAACTACTCAGCCGAGTAGATAATTAAGCAATATGACAAACAATTAAGCAATACTGGTCTTGCTGTGCTTGCTCCCAATGTAAATAGTAACTGAAATAGCCACACTTTCTTCTAAACAGCAGTTCTATGTAAACTTCAGTTTTAGTTATTTTTTAAAGACATCAAAATGACAAGAGAATCTCAGCAAAAAATTATAAAAGAATGCCTGACTCACCTGTCATAGTTAAAGTGGCATGTTAACCATACTTATTGTGGCACCAATGAACAATTCAGTTTTATCATTTTGATATACCCTCCAGGGCTTCAATTTTCTTCCTCAGAGCTCAATCATGGTCTGCTACACTATTCCTGCCCAAGGATGAAATATTGCTTACTTTCCTTTTTATTTATTTATTTATTTTTTTACTATATATTCAGCAGGGTGTCAAGTGCTGATTGAGAACACATTCCATGATGATCCCTATTTTCAGTTAAAATACGTACTTACAGTTTTAGATTTAACTCCCAGCCTTTTCAGTCACAGTCATTTAAAGTGGAGTCAATCAAGCATGTGATTAGAAATAATAACTCACAAGCAATGAATTCAGAAAGATTAGATCTTCACCGAACTGCACAAGAATGGCATCCCACTCTACATCTTTTCCTCTCAGATTTTTAAAGAAGGGACCAAAAAAACCAACTGTACAATTTTTGGACTTTGAAGGCTGCACTTTCATGAAATCTGACTAATCACCATGCCAGTCTATCATTCAAATCTTCACTTTTCTTGAGATGCAATCAATATAAGTGCACTACACATAGCTTCTCTTGGAGGAATTTTTCCTAGCTGTGATACAAGCTTTAAATTTAGCTACTAAATTGGGTAAAAACAAAAATGAATGCCAGCAATGTAGTTTCTTTTCTTTTATCTTTTTTTTTTAAACTTTCGCTAACATGGAGGGCGGGGGGGGAGGGGAGAAAGTGCTATTAGTTTTTAAACACAAACTTAATTAAGCTGATAACAGCATAATATCCAACAAACAGCTAATATTCATTTAATATAATGGAGACACATTTTGAAAATTATATTGCTCACAGGGCTAGCAGGCATGGAGTAAAAACTGAATTGATGCATCTCCAATATTAAGTTCCAGAAAGTTCCTTTCCCCCCCAGTGCTAAAAGTGTTGAAAACTTACATTTCTGTTTTATTCTTGCCATTTCATGGGTCACTTTCTACCGAGCAATTTGCTTGGATCAACATTGCAGATTTCAGGACAGAGGTTGATATTGTCTGATCTTGTTTCCATTAGAGGCCTCGGAAGGATTTTTCAGATTTGGCCACAGTCTCCTCAACTCAGATTAGTGTGGATCTCATTTTTCACCATCTCATCCACCTTAGTAATCACATAACACAGATAAGGTCATGAAGAGAAAGGAGATGACTGGTAGGAAGTAAAAAACAGACAATTCACGATTTAAATACAAAAGTTCCACACACATTCTGGGGCAAGCAAATTATAACTGACCCTGTAATAACAGCACTTCTCACCTAACTACTAGTTAGGTGTATATGATCCTGACATTTAAAGTTCCCATTTCTAAAATGTTTACCAAGTACATTATTTTTATAGGTTTAATTTAAATTAGTATTAAATGTTCTGTAATTTTTTTTATCCATAACTCTCAGGCAGTTCACAAAATGCACCTGTTCTTAACTCAGTTTTAGAGATGAGATTACTAAACCAGGGAATTTATGAGAGAATGGAATAAAGTAACACAGCAACGAATAAGGCTGCTCTCACAATATAATCATGTTGTATTTATTAAAAGTACCAAACAAACTTAAAATGTTTTGAAATACATTTTAAAAGTTTATATTGTTTCTACAATCCAAAATCAGGATTGCTTCAAGCTAGAAAAAGTAAAAAGAAAAACAAAGAAGGCAATGTAAGTTCCTCTCTAGGTACTAGTGTGATCATTCTAGTGTGCAGACATAAAAAAAGAAAATGAAATTAAAATAACTTTTCAAATTTAGCTCCATAATGGGGGAGAGGGAAATAAAAGTAGCAGCTGGTAGAAAGTTATCTGTATTGAACAGAATTCTTTCAAAATGGCAGACTTGGATCTCTAAAAGGGAAGAGTTCATCCTTAAAAGCATCATGCTGTGGTAGACTCTCAAGAGACTATTGCGGTTTTAAATGTATATAAAATCCAGTCTTCAAGAAAAACAGATTTTAATACCTCTCCAAATTCAAGACCACAGTGGTTTTATTGGTTGTCACTGCTTAATCTAGAACAATAAAAAAAAAAAAATTACCAAAACTGTTACCCACCCTCATCTTGGTCTACCTAAAATTTCTGTACATTTTTAAAATTAAGGTGACAAAGAAAGATTCTGTTTGAGCGGAAGAAAACTTGGAGAAGATAAGGAGCTGATAAAAGAAATTGTTTTTTTAAAGTAGGCCAAATCATCACTTATACTCTGAAAAGCTGAATTTATTTACAATTTTGGAGGATATAATCCAAAGAATTTACTAACATAAAGGTGGTAAAATATTTTAATGTACAAGTTGGAGATTAAATCACAGCAACTCTTTTTTAATCATCTACCTAAACTTTCATTTTAATGGGCAGAGACGCTTCTATTGCAGAAGTAATGTGAAGCCCACCTTTCAACCAGTTAATCCAATAGCAAACCATAGTCTCACACCAGTGTTTAAGACTAGACAAGCATACCATATCCACCTAAATAGTTTTATTTCATGTACAAAATCTTAATGAAGTCAATGAGCAAAGGCTAAACAATTCAGTGGATGTTTTTCAGGATTGAGACATTAGCTTGTTTCAGTTACTAGAGTCATTTATTTAAGAGAAATATTAAATAACTGTTGATAAAAAGTCACTGCCTAATCTCTTTATGCTGATGATAAATTATTCCGGTCTAATCTTATAATTGGGTACTACTATTAAGTACAGAAATCATAATTAGTTAAATTGTTTGTTTACAACTTTTTCTATAAATTTTTGTAATATTGAGCTGACTTTCTAAGGAAACATTGAGTCCAAAAATCCTCCCAATGTCTAAAATTTGCAAAAACATGGTTAAGTTCCAATGGTAAAGTGGGAGGTACAATAGTTAGTTGGTAAATCCTAACCCTCCGTTAGCAGAACTCTAGTTTGGAAGGACTTTCATGTTAAGTAAATCAAGTAAAATATGGCAATGCACTCTCTCTCTTTCTGCTAATCTTTAATGATAATTTATAGCTGCAGGACATTTGTAAATTTAACAGCCCATCAAAGTATTTGAGAGCACTCAGTCCTAAGTACTCATTAACTGACATTAAACATAACTTTCCATAAAGTACTATACAGCATGAATGGGTGGGCAAGCCAGTGAGCAACTACCACTATAATAATTTATAGTTTGTAATCCTGCCTTATTACTTCCAAACACAAAAAAAGAGCACTTGGCAACTACAACAAATACTTAGTCAATGCTATAAATTACTCTGGCAGAAAAATCCTTCATGTCCCTGAAGGATGCACTAATTCTTCCTTCTCTACCACCAAAAGATAAACTAAGTACTGTAATGCACCACTTCCCAGAATCTGCTGGAGAGCATTCCCTGCATATTTTTTCTTTTTGTCCAGATATTTTTCTTCCTTTTCTATGACTCAACGTTCACAAAAAAAATCCAGCAAGGACTTGCATAAAAGTGTCACGAAGGTTTTCCCCCAAAAAACAGTCTACATATCTTCCATCATAAGTCACCAGAAGTCACCTTCACCAAACGCTGGTCATAAGAGACTGGTGTGTAGGGACAAAAAAAAGGGTTGGAATGAAATACAATATATTATATTATTTGTGCAATTGCTTTTCTGAGATATGTTTTTTTATTAAATAAATGGTATAGTAAAGTTAATACTAAGGTGGCAACATAAGCAGCTTGTTTGTATATTTTGTGTACATTATGGAAAAGACATTTGTAGGTGTAGGTTATTTTTTGGTTTGACAAACAGAACTTCTATAGGTATCTTCATATCTATGGCACTACATTAAAACAGTATTTACACTGACATACCAGATTCAGGATTAAAGCAAACAATATATGTTTAATCAAATACTATTTTCCATAAGAGACTCACTGTAATCCCAAGGACTATAATAAAAGAATTGGAACCAAATCAACAACAAAAAAATGAAACACCATTCTGGAAGCCTACCACCTCCTCTTCTCTGAGCTGGATACATTTGAGATGGGCAATGCCGAGTTAATTCTTTTTTCCATGCCAGCAGTGCACTTCCTCTGTACTAATAGCGTGCAGAGTGCAAACCCTGTGATCACGGAAAGATTTGATGCTTGAGTGACTCGGAACAGCTGAAATGGCAAGCGGGAGGTGGAGAAACCATCTTAGAAATACAGTGCAAGTGCCTTCTAATTCGTTATGATAGGTGAGTGGTTTGGGCTTCCTGTCACAGGCTAATCTAGGCACAGCACCACAAGGTCTTGTATACTTGACTATCATCCATTAAAAACAGAATGTTCATTAGCCACCTACCAATGTCTCCTAAGCTTGCTTTCTTACCAACTCCAGCACGGGCCCTTCTTACAAGCAAGGGGGTTGATCCAAAAGCAGTAGACCTTGCAAAGGAATTCTTTTCATTCTGCTGCGCACGCGCGTGTGTGTATGTGAATAAAAATGATGAACTTCTTAATTTTTACACACACACATGTCCTAATTTTTTTAAATCAACACACGATCCAATTCTACAAAAACCCACTGTAATTAAGTGTTAATTAACACCAAGTTATTTCAACCAAATTACAAAATTATCGCTGTTTTTCCCAATACAATCCACTAAAGTAGTAAATTTACAGAAGGGAGCCATAATTAGCAGCAACATACCTAGTTCTCTCCCAGCTACTGAGAGGAAGCTGGAAGAAACCCTCTTTAATTTCACATGCAACCCCTCAAACAATCAGTATGTTGTAGAAAAAGGAGACACCTCTGTCATCTCATGAAATTTTACTTTATCAACACATTTTGAAAAGGATATTTAGGTAGAACGCTTAATGTTAATTTCCATTTTATGGACACCCTTCACACTAATCTTTTTAAAGATGAATGAAAAACCACACTGCGTACTCTGGAATATGGATATATATCATAAATCATCAACACTTAATATTTTGCTCTTCAACATCAAAAATTAAGATTGCATTCTTGTGAGTTAGAACAAGTAGCATTAACCATGCTTTACAAAAAAGAAACAGAAACACAAAACACTAAGTCATGCAGCAAGTCTATGACAGAACTGATGCCTGATCGGGCCCAAAATGCTGTTAATTTTGGCCAACAAAATATTAAACCAGTTAGTCAATGCTCACATTTCATACAAATAATTTACAGGTTTATGACTTCTTGCATGTAGGAATCTCAAAGCAGTTTGCAGACACTCAGTAGGCCAGGTAGGCATTCCTTCTTTTATAGTTATTGGACAAAGAGATTAACCTAGTCAGAAAAAAATAGAGTAATTTGTCCAACGTTATACAAAAATCAGGGATAGGAATGAGAAACAGAAACCTCAAGTTCTCAGTTCTATATACTGCTCATACTTCCATTATTTGAAAATAATAAACATTGTCTATATATGTGTAAGTCACAATATCTTATTTCCTCAATTTTTATCATATGCATTTTCATATACATCAGACAAAAATACCTTCACAGTAAAAGTTCCCTGAAAAAAGTTTTAAAGCTAAGTCTGACATCCCCAAACCTATTTTCCATTGCCTTGCACCTTGCATTTACACCTGTGCAGCTTGGGTATAAAACACCATCAAAACTGAAACATTTGGTCACCTACAACACTGAAATGACTTTGTTTCTTCTAAAACAAAACCCCTCTACTTTGCACAACACATTCGCAAAGGTGCAATACCATAGAGAAGTACATCCCTCAGTTCAAACTTCTGAGCTTTTTATTCCTTGACTTCTTGAAACATTGTTACTAAAAGATAGCCAAAGCCTAACCACTAAAATTTGCAACATTTCTTTGTATCAAAAAAGATATACATAATTTGTGTTTAAGTTTCTTAATTTGTTATATAGCAACATGAAACAGATACACAAAAACATTAAAAAAATGTACAGTTTAAAATAATCCAGTGCTTCAATATTGTATTTCAGCTGAAAAATATGTTTACTAAAAGCACTTCTTTAGGTACAGTAGATACTGCAGCATAGGACAGAAGACTAGCCTAGAACAGCTTTTCTTTCTCCCTTCAGTGTCTAATTACTTTTCTCTGTTTTTGCCTTCTTAATGTTGTGGCACAGGACTTTGCAACAGTCATTATTTTCAACAGGACATAGGATAG